CCTTGCCCGCTCCCCGGGGGTTCCCCTGGTTCCCCTCCCTGTCCCCTGTCCTTGTCCCCACTGCTGCCCCCTAACCCTTGTTATCCCGTTTCCCTCTGTGTCCCCCCCAACACCCATGGCCATTCCCGGGGGGCTCCCCCCTTGTCCCCTCCCTGGGGTTCCCCCTGTCCCTTCACCCCCCAGCACGAGGCCACCCCCGGGTGCCCGTGGTCGTTTCCACCTCGGCCCAGGGCAGAGCCGAGCGCGGGTCCTGCCCCCRCGGGTCTTCGAGCACCGTTTTGGGTGCGAGCGGGAGCCAGGAAGGGCCCTGGGGGCTCTGTGGCCGCAGCGGGCAGACGAGCCCCGTCCCCGGGYGCCCGTTTGGCCCAGGCTGCTCCAGGGGGTCTGTGGGGGGTGGCCGGGACACCCCAGGTCACCGTCCCGTGGGGCCGATAGGGCCGGGAGGGAGGCGGCCCTSGGGGCTGCGGTTTCCCTGGAGCTGCTTCCCCTGCTAAGGCACCCGGTGGTTTGGGGGGTCGAGTTGAGAACGTTAATGACTCTGCTTTTCTTGGAAAGCTAAAAACTCCTAATGCAAAAAAAAAAAAAAAAAAAAAAAAAAACCCAACCAAACAAAACTACTAAATGCAGATTTGTATTTTCAAACTATCTATGCTTTCCATATAACTGGTTGGACGTTTGGTTTTGTTTGTTTGCGCTTGCAAGCGTAGGCCTGGAGAGAAGGCCAGGTAGGGCAAGGGCAGAGTGTCCGGCCGCGGGCTTGGCCGGGCGGCCTGGGCTCGTAGGGCAGAGCCGAGTCCATCCTGTGGCCGTGGGCTATTTGTACCTTCCAGCTCCTCCTCTGAGGAGGGAAAAAAGGCMCAGAGGTGCAAGAAAAGGTTAAAATGTGTATTTTACTGGCACTGCGATGGAAAGAATCCTCTCCCGCCCAAAAGGAGCCACTTTGTGACTCTTCAGTTCCCGGTTTCGGGCCGCGGTGCAGGAGCCCTGGCTGAGCGCCGTGGAACGGTGACGGAGGGACCGTGAGCGCAGCCTGCGCCGCCTCGGCCGCGGATCAGCGCCCTGGGAACCGCCGTGTAGCACGTGGGTCGTGTGCGCTGCCCCCGCGCCGGCCCCGGAGCAACGGGCAGGCGGGGCTGGGGTCAGAGTGGGCCCTGCTTCGTGTCCCTGGCTCCAGCCGGCTCTTCGCCCCTCTCTCCGAGCGGCAAATCCGAGGAGAGGCTGCTTAACCCCCGGTAAGAGCAGTCCCGAGCGGGGCCCGCGGCGCTGTGGAAGTCGGAGGTCTCTCCGTGCGGACGGGCTCATTTCTAGATCGACACTTGTGRTTGCTGCCGCCGGCCCTCGTCAGGGCAAACGCACAGAAGGGAGGTGCAGGGCGAGAGCTTTAACCAGCGACCTGCTCCGCTTGCGGCCATTAAAATACACCAGGCGTCCCGTTAAATGAGGCCCTGTGGAGGGCACGGAGATAGGAATCTTGTCCGGCACCTCTTGCTGTCAACCCCCCTGCCGGCCTTCTCCCCGCACCCGGCTTTGCCCCACGTCCGGGTTGCTTCTCACGCTCCGTATTCCACAAAAAGGGTCTTCGAGTGCCCCTGTTTTCTAGGAACCCCTACGTGGTGTGACAGGACTCAGGGTGCCTCCCACAAGGGGAAGGCAAACTTGGCATCTCCGGCCTCTCCGAGGGAAGTGGGTGAATAGGCAGATTTTTTCTTTTAAGCCATGCTCCCTCAAACTTGCAAATCGTTGCTCTAGAACAAATGGCAAATTAGGCGTTGCGTGTCCCGGAGCTCGGCACCCTGCGGAGCGGCCGCTCTTCAGCACCGCAGGCCCTTACAAAAGCACGTTGTTCTCGAGGGCTTGTAGAGTTTCCGTGAGASATTTTGCGCGCTCGTCTCCTTCAACTGTCTCCCGTGTGGCAGCCGGGGTCGCAGGCTGCCAAAAAGCCTCTTTGAGCTGCTCCTCGGCTGCCTGACCTATTGCAGCAGCTGCTCACGGAGCAGCCGCCTTTACAAACGGCCAGTGTGGAGCACAGAAGGAGCCTTGTCCTGGCCCGCAAAGCAGCCCTGTGCRTGTGTGTTCCCTTGTTAACCCCCTCTTCACACCACCTCCGTGGACTTAATTAGGCTCAGCTCTAATTTYGCTGTTTTTTTCCGGGGTAATTGAGTTTGTCGTGAGAATTTGCGCCGCCTGATGCGGCTCGGTTTTCTCTGCAGCTGCCGGTGTGTGGTCGGTGCTGCAGAGTCTGYGGTGCCAAGTGGCCCCTGAGGCCGTTCTTGAATCGAGCGTTGTCCCCAARGCCCCTTTTGGGGATTTTGTGCGTGATATCTGCTGTCAGTGGGGAAATCTGCYTCCCGGGGGACAAAGCTGGTGCCTCTATCGACGCCCTGTAGTCCTGGCAGGGACCCCTGGTATGTTTGTGTGGCCTTTTGTCGGCATTCAGCAAAAAGACACCCCTGTGTTGTGTGTTTAATGAAAGAAACTACACTTGAAAATAACCCAAAGTGACTGCTTTGTTAGCAAGGGCCTCAAAAAGACATGACTGAAACGGGAGCAAAAAGCTGAGCTGAGCAAGGGGCTGCGGACGTGAAGCTTCCCTTCGCATAAGGGAAACGCATAAGAGGCAGTGAATTCAAGATAACTGTTTTCCTGCAAGCTGGAGCGTTGCAGTTCTGTGTGGACAAGCAAGACCAAGGTGGTTTTTGGTTTTGTTTTAATATTTGCCTTTTTTTTTTTTGTTTAAAAAGAGCAAGCAAATGCCGAGGTGGAGACGTTTTAACAGATGTCCTTGCCTTGGCAAGGAGTTGCCCTGATCTGTTTTGCAGGTTGCCTTGCTTCAAAGCGATGGAAGGGGTTGGAGGAGAGTCAAGGGCAGGCGTGTCCCGCAGCCCCGTGTCCAACTCTGCAGCACAGCAGCAGCTTAGGACAAATTTCACAGAATCCTTAAGGTTGGAAGGGGCCTCTAGAGATCCTCTAGTCCAACCCCTGCACACGCAGGGTCACCCAGAGCACGGGGCACAGGCTGCATCCAAGCGGGTTTGGAAGATCTCCAGAGAAGGAGACTCCACAACCTCTCTGGGCAGCCTGTTTCGGGGCTCTGTCACCATCACTGTTAAGAAATTTTTCCTGAAGTTCCTGTGGAACGAGGCTGCCCCATCCTTCTCGCTGCCTCCCTTGAGGTGTTTATAGACACTGACCAGGTCCCTGTGGTTGGGACCAGAGGATAGTGCAGCCCCCTGGGGTGTCAGCTACTGCTCCCAGTTTGGTACCAACTTGCTGAGGGGCCGCTCGGTCCCTTCATCCAGGTCACTGATGAATAAGATGATGAACTGGGCTGGACCGAGCACTGACCACGGGGGACACCACTGCCCACAGGCCTCCAAATGGGCTCCGTGCCGCTGATCACCTCCCTCTGAGCTCTGCCATGCAGCCAGTTCTCAGTCCACCTCACCGTGCAAAGACTTTGATGGCACTTGGAGCACTAGATGCTGTGAGATTCCTTTCTCTTGCCCAAACCCTGACAAAGTAAAGAGCAGGTAAACTTAGAACAACTCAAAGAAAATCCTTCTTGGAACATTCAGTGCTTCAAGCTGAGGGAATTGCAGGACAACTGGCTTAGTCCAGCCAGCATTTCCAGTTCTTATGTGCTTATCCAAACAAGAACAATTTAATCTCCTGGATTTGGGCTACAAACAGATTGCCGCGGAAGCTCTGGCTTTGACAGGCTGCATGTGGTGTGGGATAGCGCTGTTCTCCAAGGCTGTTGGAGCTGGACGTGCGTGTGCACCACGTACAGCAAATCCAGCACTCTGGAAAAGCTGGACAATTGAGTAAAAATGACTTTTCTTGAAAAGATTGTAGTTTCCCAAGTCAAAGAAGGCTGATATTTTAGGCTCTGGTTTCCTAGGGAGGTGAAAAACAGCCTAAAAACAACAATGCTGATTTTTTTTTTTTTTTTCTCTCATGTGACTCACTGTTTGGTTACACATCTTCCCATTCCGGGTGACACAGACATGAGTCTCCCATCAGTTATTTCCATTCTCTCTGCACTGTTCTCCAGTCACGCTGCGGCAGCGAAATCCTCCCACCCAAACTGCAGAGGAGCGGGCTGGCCTCGCRCCTTGGGTCCCTCCTTTTTTCCCACTCCATCCTGCTATTTTCAGCYGTTTGAGGTCCTGGCTGTGCCTGAGGCGCTGCTGCATTTCAGGTGTTTGGGGTGAGGGCAGGTGGTTTCCGCAGCAGCCAGGCCGGTTGGTTGGTTGATTTTAGTGGTTTTCTGGCCCATATATTTGTCTGTCTTTGCAATRTGTTTCTAATCTTAAATGTTAGAAGAATGTCAGTACTGAGAGCACGCAGGGCGGGTGAGCAARCCTGTGGAGTGCCCTCTTGGAGAAGAAAAATGCCTTGAACCCCCCTCTTTTCTTTCTCCAAGTACCTGTCTAACTCCTTCTCATCTAACTGCTTCTCCCTGGATTTGTTGGAATGAAAGGAGCTTTTGTGTGTGATGCTGTGTAACTCGCTGGTTCTCCTTATGCCCTTTCTGACGTGGGAAACGTGCGTGGGGTGACCCTGGGCACCTGCAGGGTGGGTTGACCTTGAGCATCTTCCCCTGAAACTGCCAGTTCTTAACGCCAGCCATAGCTGAGCTTGGAGCAGCTAATTGCTGTGTGGCTGCTCCTCGGGGTTGCTCCGCAGGGAAAGCAGCCTGCCGTATGTCGATTCCGTTCTTCTCTTTTCGCGCCTGACCTCTGCTGTGTCCGTGTGTCCGCAGTGAACGTCGTGGAAGCCCTGCAGGAGTTCTGGCAGATGAAGCAGTCGCGCGGAGCCGACCTGAAGAACGGAGCGCTCGTGGTGTACGAGATGGTGCCGTCCAACAGCCCTCCCTACGTCTGCTACGTCACCTTGCCGGGCGGGAGCTGCTTCGGCAGCTTCCAGGTGGGATTGCTTGTTCCACGGCGGCTCCTCCGGGGCAGCCTCCCTTGGCTGCCCTTGCGGTTCCTTTTCCCATCAGAACGAGTGCTCAGAGGTCTTTCTGTAGGGGTGCAGAGTAAACATTTTTCCACTGAACTGAGGCAGGAGAAAGGATGTGGCTCTGCTGTGATTTCAAGCTGGTTAATAAATGTGCCTAATTAYGGCTATAAAGCTCCACCCTGCTGCAGTCCTGGAAAGTCTGGCTCTGGATGTTACCTTTTGTGTGTGCTGTGTTCCCTGCAAGCAACTGATTTAGATCCTAACAGTGCTGAGATGAGACCCATGCTATCAGGGAAGGTTGCTAAGTGTTACACTGGCTGTTTTTAATCCTTCCTTGTCCTTCACGGGATCRAGCCGTTCGGTACATTTACAGGATGAAGCTTGAACAGCTTGGTAGAATTAACAGAACAACAGGGCAGGGGCCCTGGATCTGACCCAGGGCGTCCTCTCAGACTTCCAAAAGAATCTAGAAATCAAATTGTAGCGTTTGATGAATGGTTTCTGTCCCTTTCCAGTTAAAAGGAAAGTGTCCAACCCAAACACCTCACCCGAAAGATTAAGGTCCAAAAATCACAAAGGGTCCGGACCGCATTTCGATTCCTCTGCCCTTGCGGCTTTAGGCAGTTACCCTCTAGTCTTGGTTTGAAGGAAGTTTCCAAAAGAAACATTTCTGGCAGCTAAGCAGCCTGCCTGTCCTGAAGAGCAGCCCCTGTGTTTAGAGTAACTTGGTTACGTTTTGGTTTTAAGCAAACGAGTGTTGTTGACGATCTGATTGGTGGCGTTTCCCGGTCCGGATACTATGTGCTGAGATCAGCGGCTTGGTTAATTTCTGTGTTTGGCGTGGTTGGGATAGCTGTGGTTTAAACTGGCTCCTAATGACTTCAGGATGTCTGGGAGCTCTTCCAGCACCACTCAACAGTGCCACCTAAACGTGATTTTGTGTGTCCGGGGTGGGTCTGGGGCCTCGGGTCTGGTTGAGCTCAGTCCTCCCGTTCCTTTTTGCCCTCACGGTGCCTCTGTCTCCTCAGTTCTGCCCAACCAAAGCTGAAGCCCGAAGGAGCGCCGCGAAGATTGCGCTGATGAACTCGGTGTTCAACGAGCATCCCTCTCGGAGGATCACGGATGAGTTCATCGAGAAGAGCGTCTCGGAGGCCCTGGCGTCGTTCAACGTAAGGCTTTGAAATGCCAGCGTGGCTGCAGTTGGRGTGGGTTGGCTGAGGGAAAGCTCAAAACATGGGAAAAGCAGCTTTCTCTTATAAGTGGGGATCTTYGGGTTTTTCAGTGACTTCTGGGTGTTACAACTTTGACTATTGCTCTAATTCTTATTCCTCTGCCACACGGTCCTGAACGCTTCTTCGTAYCCAAAGCATTACATAACTTTGCAATTCCCTTAGTGGGCTGCAAGGAAAAAAGAACATTTCAAATGGCACTTTCAAAAGTGACGTAAACCCTGTTATCCCGTGAAACGGGGACTGAACGGAGCAAGTGGTGCAGGCTGAGCTAGTCTTGTGTTGCCAGGACGGTTTAGTTTGAGGCAGGAAACTGCACGACGGGGTAGCTGGTTGGAGGGGAGAAACAACGTAGGCTCCATGAGCCCGAGGGGCTCCCACTGGAGCCGAGGCCCCGGAATCGCAGCTCTTGTGTGGAATCTCCCGCAGGGCAATCGAGAGGAAGCCGATAATCCCAACACGGGCATTGGCGCGTTCCGCTTCATGCTGGAGTCCAACAAGGGCAAGTCAATGCTGGAGTTCCAGGTACTGCAAGTTCATTAATTATATGGGGCAAGGGGTGCTTGGGTTGCTCTTTCAGCTGTATCTACAGTGCTTTACATTCGAAATAGAAATATAGGAGGGCGGGGATTGACAGTCCCAGACTATCACCCTTTTCCTGACTTGGGACCTCCAGTGAGCTGTGTCGTTTGTGGTTTTTTTYACCCTGACCCTATGTGATGAGGAAGACTCCACTTTCCTTGGGAAAGCTGCTGAAGATCTTTCATTTAAACATCATGCTTGCAGAACGAGGAGCCTCAATTACTGCCCTCAAACCACAGCAGGGGCTGAGCTGTATTCCTGTCCCATTGAAGCGCGCACAGTCCGTCTCTCATTGTGCCAAAACATCYGTGGAATGAGAAGTACAGACTGCCATAGGAAACTGTTACAGCTCTTACAGTTTGGGTTARTGGAGCAGAAGGAGCTAGTGCAGAACAGAGGACTGAGAACAGAGATTTTCCTGGGCTTCATTCCAGCTTTTGGGAAGAAGCTGCTCCTCTGGGTCACCTTGTGTTTACCTGGGACCACGGCAGCCGGGTACGTAAGAGTTCAGGGCACACGGTGCTCGGCTTGGCAAGCCCAGAGCTCCCTCCTCAGCTGCTGCTAAACCTCAGCTTCCGAGTAGCTTGAGGATCTCGGACTAGATTACTGCTTGCACAAGGTGATGGCTGAGGACGTGGAGTTTCGAAGAGGAGGGACGGACCGCGGCGCAGTGCTCGGGGTGCTGCAGCAAAGCTCGGCTGCTTCGCAGAGCCGGCGCCTCGAGGCTGTCACGCAGCCCCATTTGGGGTTCTCTGCTGTAGGCAGCTCTTCTGAGGCTGCCTCCTTGCTGGCTTGTTTCCCTTGAATGGAAATAGTCAGTGGGCGGAAGACCCGAGTGTTTATACTAATGGCCCTGTTTACACAGGGTGACTCCGTTACGGATATTCCTTCGGCAGTGTTTGGACGTGGGAAAGCCTAACTAGTCACTGAGCTTCTGAAGCAGGATTTGTGTGGCCCTGAGTGGGGGAAAGTGGTCGCTTGCAGAGTGTAGGGTTGTCACCCGTTCTGACTGCTGGGCTGGCTTTGAGGCTGCCCCACGGAGGGGCCTTGCGGGCAGAGTGGTGACGCCCCGGGGGCAACACGAAGCGTCAGCATCCGTGTCCCCTCCGCAGGGAGCCCTCTCCTGTGGTGGGGGGATTTTGGCCAGTGGTGGCGGCCAGCCCTTGTACCGGTAGCTGGAAACTAGAAAACAAGAAACTCCCATCTTGATCCTCACGTGGCTGCGTCCGAAACGTGCGCTGAGCCCGTGCCCGCTGCGCCGTCCCGGGTTGCGGCGGCACCCGCGTCCCGGTCTGAGCGCCCTTGCCCCCTTGCAGGAGCTGATGACCGTGTTCCAGCTGCTGCACTGGAACGGCAGCCTCAAAGCCATGCGGGAGAGGCAGTGCTCGCGGCAGGTGAGTCGGGCCGCGCCGCTGCGGTTGTCCCCTGTGGCACCGGAGCCGGATGCCACCGAGCGTGTGGCATGTGGCACGAGCAGGTGCGTGTCCCGCGTGCCTGCCCTTCCCTGAGCTCCCTGCACGTGTCCCTCGCCACCAGGAGGTGCTGGCTCACTACTCCCACCGCGCTCTGGACGACGACATCAGGAACCAGATGGCCATGGACTGGGTGAACCGGGAGCAGAACAGCCCAGGGGCCCTTTCCCGAGAGCTGGCTTCCACGGAGAGAGAGCTGGATGAGGCGCGCCTGGCGGGGAAGGAGCTGCGCTTCCATAAGGAGAAGAAAGACATCCTCATGCTGGCAGCTGGCCAGCTGGGGAGCATGCACTCCAACTGCTAGGCACGCGTGCACATCCTTCCCCCAGGCCCACTAACACCCCACGCCGACGGCGCCCGCCCCGTGTCACTTAGCGCATGCAATGCCTCTTCCAGAATTATGGCCCATTTGCACATTTTAAAGGATTTTTTTTAATGCCTGTACAGATTTTTATACTTTTTTTTTTAAGCTCCCTTCTAGATTTACTCCCCCGCTTCCTATCTGGTAGAGAATCCCTTCTGTCACTTTAAAGAGTGCATTTAAAAAATGCAGCCTTTCAGTATTAACACTAAAGACCTGCACTGTATGTGGGTACTGTGTAATTGGCAGTGTTACGTGGAAAGGCAGCACCTCTTCGAGAAGCTTCTGTGCTTTGGAGCTGCTGCACGTTGCGCAGACCTGCTCTTCTACTCTGCTTCTGTCATAGAGGCAGTTCGATCCAAACTCCTTGGACAGCACAGTAAAATTAAACAAGATGTGTTCTTTTTAACTCCTCAGGGCAAGCTGCATTGAGGAGTACTCCAGGGCACACGAAAGGTGGTTCAAACTAGGACTGGTCAGACTTAAAGCTGGGATCAGCACCAGACAGAGCCTCCTCCTGTGCTCTTTCTCAATCCTCTTTGGGTGCTTAGTGTCTCRCCCGGGCCAGGGAGCTCTAGAGGTGCTCGAGCGCTGTCGCCAGCGCTCTCAGCTGCTGGAGGTGCCATGGGGCCAGCTTACTCCCCTGGGAATGGAGCCTGGGAGTTGTTTGGCTTCCCCAGCTAGCCTGGCTGGACGAGGCGGCTTGGGAATCTTGCAGGGAATGAGAGATGGATCTGCTCTTCTCCCCAGGGTTGCTTGCAGATGTAGGGTCAGCCTTGGCCTTTTCAAGGAGGATTYGAGGAGACTTGCAGGGCTAGCTAGCAATAATGGGGGCAGTTTGCAGCCTCTCTCTACCAAGAGCCTTGTACGCACAGGTCTTCAACACCAGAGCTRTGTTTAATCCCTTGAACCAGAACACAGGATCTTCCATCTCCAGCAGCAGGAGCTCACAWAGGCCTCGGCTTCCCCTCTGCTTTGCTTTTTACAAAATGAGGGTACGGGCTATGGGTTCAGGGCCTCCAGGCAATAATGTTTATATAGGCTAGCCTCAAATTGTAGAGGGGGAGAACGAGGGCCGGAGCGGTGCCTCTCCTGGAGCTCAAGGCTCCCTGCTCTGGAGCTTCATCCGTTCTTTCTAGTACAGTGTTGGGACAAAACACTGCTCAGCTGAGAATCTCTATATGCACTATTTTTAAAAAAATGAATAGCTCCCTGCTCTTTGTATACATATCAGTGCTAAATCTATATGGTGTTTAGATTAAAAATCCCCTTCCTGACGCTTGTGTTCCTGTAGCTCACRTTCACAGCCCGAGGAAGTAGGGCTTTGCTCAAGGTAATTCTTGTATCCCTTCCTACTTCTCTAATATATATAGCCTAGAAGAGCCAACTATGTCACAGTGGGACTATAAATTGAAGGCAGATTTCTTTTTTCAGTGCCGTATTCAGCTCTGAGCTTTCTCCTCTGTTTTCTTTTTCCTGTTTTGGTTTGTTCTTCCACATTCTCATGTCATGTTTTCCCCATGACTGTGCTCTGGGAAGAGGTACAAAGCCTTTGGGAATCTCGCAGGTAGTTTTCCGTGCACAACCGCCCCTCAACCCCCTCTTTTTCTCCAAAGCAGCCTCTTACAGAGTACGTGCRAGCTTAGAGGCACGTGGATATTCAAGCAATAGTCTTGTTCTGAAATGAAGATCAAGAAAACCRCATTATCTGTAGGTATTCTAGTTTTGTATTCTTGTCCTAACAAGCCTATTTGTTTTTATATATTTTTTTATATGCAGCCTTTTACACAACAGTATTAATGTTTAATGCGTTYATAAATGTGATTGTAAATGGTGTGGAGTTTTGTTTTGTTCTGTTTTTTTACAGGTGGGTAATATCTAGACCTTGTATTTGCGTTTAATCACCTGCTGTTGAAATAACGCAGAGTCTAACATCTTTCTGTTAGCACTGCCACACCTGTATGTTGTGTTCCAGTACATCACGTGAAGCAGTGATTAATTTGATGGCCCGAGCTTGCAAAYACAGAGTCTCTTGAGAAAGTTCCCTTCTGGAGCAGCTGCCGCTCCGCTCCCATCTCCAGGTTTGCAAGTCACTTTGCCTGGGAGCAGTTGTTTCCCTGCGTTACGGACCCGGGCTTGTCATCCCTCCTAGCTATTTCTCATCTCTCTAGCAACACGAGAMGGAAAAATTTGTGTTTTCCGTGACCCAGCGGAGTTTTGAGATGCCCAGTTCTTGGCTAATTCGGAATCCACTTGGATTTTGCAGGTTGAAGGGGGTCTTTTAGAGCTGTAGCAATCRGCAGACCAGGGCTGGTGCGTTCTTGCTCTAAGAAATCCCAGTGCTTGTTCAGGAAGCCTCGTGCATCCCCGTCTCCCTGCCCCAGCTGGGTGCAGCAGGGAGTTTGGAGCTAAAATTCCCTTTGGGCACTCTGTTTGTACGAATCCCGGCTTTTCCTTCGTTAAAACACCCTTACTTAAATGCACGTAGCAGCACTTAACGGTGCAGCTGCCAAGGGCTTCCTGCCGAGCAGAGTTTGTGMCCTACGTGTTTGGGCTCTCAACACAGCCCGGGCTGCACGCGCTGCTCCTCGCAGGGCTCGCTGGTGTCCGGATCCTAATGGTTTTAGCAAAGCCCGTCTCTGTAAAGCTGCGCTGCGTGAGCCCATCCAGCTGCCAGCAGCCTCGGAACGGAGCGTGGAGGATCATGTTGTTTCCACGGTCAAAATCCAAGTGTGTAAGTCGCTCCTGGCAGGAGGGAAGGTGCAGTGAAAACCCGATATACCCTTGTTTGTGTTGAGGCAAAATTCATGCCGTTTTGCCGTCTCCTGACCCGCGCGGGAGGTGGTGACGCCACGGCCCTAGGGAGCAGGAGAGCTATAGGGACCTTCCCGCTCTGGGAAAGGTGGGAAGGGTGGGATGAGCAGCTGCTCCCGCCCTCGGGCTCCCGCAGGACGTTGTAGCTGCGGAGCCTGCTGCAGAACGAGCCCAACCAGCGCAGCCTCCGCCGGCCGCCGCACGCGGAGGGGCCGCCGTTTTCCCCCTTCTTTGGGGGCTAAAGCACTGTTACATCCAGGCAGGCACTGGGCGCATTAATATAAAAGAATAGCGAGGCTCTAAACCTCTTTTCTTTATTACATGTCTGTCTTTATACTCTTGGAGGGTTGTCTTTCCGAACCCCGAGGGAGCGGGCGGAGGGGATTGCGCTCCAGTCTGTCCCGTGGCGGCGGCAGCAGCAGCGTTAACGTCCCGGCTTTCCCCAAAATCCCGACTCTYGTCTTCCCTGTTTGTGCTGGCGGGTTCAAGCCACAGCCGAACGGATAAATCGCTTCTCACGGGCCGTCCCCGCCGCCTTCCGCGTGTGCCAGAACCTTCGGTACATCCTTGCGTTTTGTATGTGTACTTTTATACAATAAAGCAATAGATTTTGGGGTAGCCGTGGCTCTCTCTCCCTTTTATTTGCAGTGGCAAATGCTGCTGCCTTGTCCCCGGACCCTGTGCCAGGGCTGTGCGTGGGGCTGGCCGACGCCGGCGCCTCCCGCCATCCCCGTTTGTCCCCGCTTCCTTCCAGCGTTTCTGTTTGTCCCCGCTCCTTCCAGCGTTTCTGCTCCTCCTGGACGTGCTTTACGGGCCCCGCCGCAGGGACACGGAGCGTTGGGACCGTTTGAGGCTCTTTCGGGTTGTTTTGCTGCTTTTTCACGTCATCCTTGGCGGGTGTGGAGGCTGTTCCGTGGCCTCCCGGCTCTGCCGGGGCCGGTGGCGAGGGCTGCATCTCCCCGGGCTGAGGCTGGCAGAGCTGCGGGTCCCCGACTGCCCCCTCTCTTGGGGGGGCTGCAGGGCTGGGGGCCCCTTTTCCCTGGAAAACGACCCTAAACCTAACTTCGTTTTAGTGACGCGGGGCAGGGGCCGCCCGCGGCGCGAACGGCCCGCGAGGGGCGGGAGGAACGCGCCCTTCCCTTCCCAGCATGGCGCCCGCGGCCGGACGGGAAGCGCCGCCCTCACCAACATGGCGCCGAGCGCGCACTTCCGTCGCGCGCCCTCCCCAGCATGGCGGCGCCCAGCGTGGTCCCGGGGGCAGCGCTTCCGGGTCTCTTCCCGGCGTGCAGCGCGGCGGCGGCGGCGGCGGCGGGCAGGAGCGCGGCAAGATGGCGGACGTGCTGGACCTACATGAGGCGGGCGGCGAGGACTTCGCCATGGACGAGGATGGCGACGGTGAGAGCGGGGCCGGGACCGGGACCGGGGCCGGGACCGGGACCGGGCGGCGGGGCTGCCCGCGGCGCTCGCCGCCGCCGCTCACCGCCGCCCTCCCGCAGAGAGCATCCACAAGCTGAAGGAGAAGGCCAAGAAGCGGAAGGGCCGCGGCT